AAATAAATTGGCTGCTTGTAGTTTGATCTCACAGCAGATTATTTAATTTTAATTTTCAATTTGTTTCCCAAGGTAACTACGGCATCAATTAATATGGCAGAGATGGAGAATTCACATTAGACACTGCTGCTCCCCTGGGATGAGCTCTCTCTCAAACCATGTTTGGAGAGGAATTAAAACCAGAAACTTTTTTCGTGTTTCTTTTTTTGTTTGTTTGTTTGTTATGGTCAGAAAATGTCTAAAGACATGGTGAACAATGGGAGGGCTGGTGTTCCTCATTCCTGAAACACATCTGCAGATGTTTGACTTAACCTGTGCTGTGTGGTATCATCTTTCTCATAGCTTTTTAAGTCCATTAGACTTCTTAATTACTTCTGTAATCTCTACACTGAAGATTCATTGTCTTTCTCCTGTCAGACCTTTAACACCACTGTCTAATTACCATATGAGTGAGACAGATTTTCATGTAATACAATAGACATTTTTTATGAACATTATTTAAATTAACTACAAGATGCACTTAGGATACCAGATGCAAATTTGATGTTTTAATAAAAGAAGACCTAGTCCATGCATGGAAAGGTTTCTCAGTATTTGAATCCTCTGATGTGTTATGGAATTAGGTTTTCTACTTTGTTTATTTAAAGATGTGATTTGGGTGTTTTGTCATTGCAGAGATTAGGAAGAGTTTTGAACTGACCACTGTTTGAAAATTGCTATACCTTTTAAATTGATAATGGTTTTGAACTGGCATCTCTGTTATCAAAGAGCCATACAGTTTGTTTCTGGGAAAACAAGAAACTCAGGATGCTTAGAAAATGGTTCTTTGGAAAACCTTCTTTAGGAACTGTGTCTTCATTATTTGACTTGACTTCGAAGATCTGATATATTGGTTTTGTACAACAGGATTATTGCTAGAAACATCATAGATATCCATGTTCTTGCAAATCAATGATGATGTGTTCATAAATAGCAACTGGCAGGAGCCCAAGATCATATTCAGATCAAGGGCAAGGATTCCAGCCCCTATCAGGGCAGGAAGAGGCTGAATGTAGGTGTCCTGCAGCACAGAGAGTGACATCACAAAAAGTAGCTGCAGACACAATATCTGCACATCCAGCAGCTTTGTCAGCTCAGGGATCTTCACATTAGTGTCCATTTTTCCCCTGAAATTGTCTTGTCCCATGGCCATCTTCTGGGACCTCTTCCCACTTGTCAGCTTCTGGAGACCTTTCAGGTGTAAAACAATGGCATCACTTCCTTTACAGAACTGATTCTACCTGCCTGGATATTTTTCCTATCACAGTAAATATGATTTAGTTAAAATACAATATGCTAACATGGAAGTGAACCCCAAATACTTCCATTTTCTAAAATCAGAGAAATAATTTCACCAGCAAAAAAACCCAAAAAACAAACAACCAAAGAAACTGAAAACTCATCAAAACCATTGGTAATTGATGAAAGTCATTCATTTCCTTTGTTTTTAGGTTAGTGCAAATGCAGTAAATATTTGTTGCTATGTAATTTAGCCATTAATTCACTCCTACATTCCTCACTGAGAAACTTTTTCTTAAATCTGTTTAAATAGCAGCATATACATTTGCAGTGTTGCATTCCCTGGGAGATATTTAAAATGTCTAATTCTACATTTTTCTATAGAAACTTATTTCAGAGGCTTTTTTCCTTTTAAAGTGCTGATATACTTAAGAAATTTTAATAGTTACTTTATAAATTTAAAATTTATCTTGAAATTTAAGGCTAAAATTCAGCAAAGCATATGAGTATATATTGAAGATCCATAGAACATAATTTTTTTTAGCTTTGGCTAAAAAATTGTGCATGTATATCTGTGTGTTTAACTTCAGTACACACATCAGTCCAACTATGTAAAATATGGTTATTTTCTGCTTTTCTTTCTTAGTGTAGTAATATTGGGAATGTAATGGCTTCTGAATAAAAAATATCTATCTGTCTGTCTATCTCTCCACGTATATAGCAATGTTTACAGTATAAAGTATTATGTATATTTATGTATTTGGAGTATGATTCCTGCTTTAAATTTTTTAATTTTTTCACTGCCTTTTTTGCTACCCAGTGTTATTCAGCAGTAAAAAATGAAGCATTGCCGATGTCCATACAGCAGAAACAAATGAGTTTCTGTGTAAAAACTGAAAACAGAAATATAAAATGTTACACAAACATTCTTCAGCCACTTGTTCTTAGCATTGTGTTTATTGATTCTTAAAACAAGACGTTAATTTTGATAGATGTCCCCTAGAGCCTGGCCTGACACCATCAGTATTACAGCATACTTTAAAAGTGCCTTTTCTGCCAAATATTTTTTTAGCAGCAGGTCCAATCAAAGTAGCTCCTGCCTATTTCTGCTTTTATCCCTGCTATTTGTGCTGTGTCTGCAGCACTCTGCTGCGCCATTCATTCCAGCTGTTTCAAAAGCAGCAGCTGATAACCTGTATCAGGGAATTAGTTATTTTTAAGCCTGATACAGTTGCTGTGTGACCTCAAATGCCCTTAGGGTGTCTCGGGGGCAGAAACAAATGGTGTAGTGCACAGGCTTATTAAAGCCCTAGTGCCTTTGAGAGAAGTAGTTGTTGTATCTCCAGAGAGAAAAATGTAATACTTAGCTGCTTCCAGATTCACCAAAAGCTCTTGAGGATTATTTTTAAAGAGTATTATATGGGGATGAGAGAATCTGATTCAGTGAGATACAGTCAGTAGAAAATGAAAGAAAGAGCCTTTTTCAGACTAACTGAAATAAATCATCATCACTAAACTGTGTCCCTAAGTGCCACATCTACACATCTTTTAAATGCCTCCAAGGATGATGATTGCCTCTTCCCTGGGCAGCCTGTTCCAATTTTTGAGCACCCTTTCTTTGAAGAAATGTTTCTTAATATCCAGTCTAAACCTCCCTTGTTAAAACTGAAGGCTGGTTCTTCTCATTTTGACACTTGTTACCTGAGAGAAGACTGATCCTCACCTTGTTACAGCTTCCTTTTAGAAGCACTAAGGTCTTTGCTGAGCCTCCTTCTCTTCAGGATAAACACACCCAGCTTCCCCAGCCGATCCTCATAAGACTTGTAACCCAGACCCTTCCCCAGCTCTCTCGTCCTCTGGACATGCTCCAGCACCTCAATGTCCTTCTTGTATTGAGTGGCCCAGAACTGGATGCAGGGTTCAAGGTGTGATCTTACCCGTGCTGAGTACAGAGGGACAGTCACTGCCCTGGTCCTGCTGGCCACACCATTGCTGATTCAAGCCTGCATGCTTGAATCATGCTTGGTCTTCTTGGCCACCTGGGCACTGCTGGATTATGTTCAGCTGCTGTTGACCAGCCCCTCCAGCTGTTGTGATCCAAGGGCAGGAAGAATCACTTGATCTTGTTGAACCTCATATGATTGGCCTCAGTGCATAGATCCATCCTGTCCAGATCCCTCTGCAGCAGAACAGCATTCCCACCAAGCTTTATATAGCCTGCAGACTGACTGAGAGTACACTCAATCTCCATGTCAAGGTCATTCATCAAGATGTTAACCAGGTCTGGCCCCAGTACTGAGCCCTGGGGAACACCACTAGTGACTAGTGACTGGCTGCCAGCTGGATGTTACTCCATTTACCAACACTCTCTGGGCTTGGTCATCCAGCCAGTTCTTTGCTTGGCAAAGGGTATGCTTGTGAAAGCCATGAGCAGCCAGTTTCTCCAGAATGTTGTGGGAAATGGTGTCAAAGGCTTTATTTGAGTCTGGGTAGACTTTCTCCTTTATCCACTGAGCAGGTCACCTTGTCATAGAAGGAGACCAGACTTTTCAGGCAGGATCTGCCTTTCCTAAACCCATGCTGGCTGTGCCTGATCCCTTGGTTGTCCTGCATGTGTTGTGTGATGGCACTCAAGGTGATCTACTCCAGGACCTTCCCTGGCTGACTGAGCCTGACTGAAGTCAGGCTGTCAGGTCATATCTTTTAAAGGAAACTTTAAAGTTCCCTTTACACCCTTGGGTGGATCCCATCTAGCCCCATGGACCTGTGTATATGTTGTGTAGCTGGTCACTGACCATCTCCTGGTTTATAGGAGCATCATTCTGCTCTCTGTCTCTGTCTTCCAGCACAGGCTCTTGATATCCTGAGGGCAACTGTTCCCACTATTAAAGACTGAGGCAAAAAAGGCACCAAGTACCTCAGCCTTTTCCTTGTCCTTTGCCACTATGCCTCCTACATCCAGTAAAGGATGGGGATTCTCCTTAGCCCCCTTTTGTTGCTGATGTATTTGTAAAAACATTTTTGTGTTTTATGGCAGTAATCAGATTAAGTTCTAGCTGGGCTTTGGCCCTGTAACAAATGGAACCATTATAAAAATTTAAAATGCGGCTTTTTTTTAATGTGTTGTTTAGAAAATACCACCTTCAAAAGCGTAAAATCCCTTAGTGTTTCCAAGCAACTGCAGTTGTGTGGTCAAATTCCCAAGATGTGAGTTGTCACCAGTCAGTTGTTTTTACAAGAGACTCTAACCTTTGGTCATGGATGGTTTACTGTTTAAGAAGTACACACACTAACTTAAGTCATATGTTTCCCTGTTACATGAAAGATAACTTGGACATCAAGTAAGTTTAGATTTAAGTATTCGTAACTAACCTGTTCATTGTGCCATGTGACATAGCTTTTAATAGCTACTTACAAAGTATCAAAAAGGTATCCTCATTGGAATTCCACTCCTTCAGAAACCTCATCTATCAAAGTGACCAAATATGTGTTGGGTAAGAGACAGTGTGCCTTAATCACTTGAGTCCCAACTCATACAAAACTTAACCATGCATGCAATCTGAAGCACTGAAGTCAGTAGATATTACATGCTTAAAATGGGACAAGAGCTATGACCTCAAAAAGACATTATTTTCATTTATTTAAGATAAAACTGGCGCATCACGAGAATTTAAAAGAGAAAATAAATGTTTGTAATTCTTTTTTCCTTTCTTGTTTTGTAGGGGCACAATTTTTTCCTGTGGTGATTTATAGCTACCAATAACCTTCCACAGTGGTTGCCTTATCAACTTATTATTTTGACATCTGCTCTTGTTAGTAAACAGAAGTGAACTAACGCAGAGCTAAGTACTCCTAATCTCAAGAGAGAGGCGTCGTACAGTATGTTCTGTACAAAACTGAAAGACTTGAAGATCACAGGAGAATGTCCTTTCTCCTTACTGACTCAAGGTCACATTACGGAGGAACATGACAAGGACTGCACAGAAAACAGCTCTAGAGCAGCTTTGCCCATCTGCAAAGAAGTCCATGAAAAAGATGGTCAAGGAAACCTTCCACAAAGGAAAACGAGCAGAAGTAGAGTGTACCTGCACACACTGACTGAAAGCATCTGCAAACTAATCTTTCCTGAGGTAAATAGATACTAAATAAAACTTTTTAGCATTTAACTATAAATCTTAAAAGAGTATTCTATGCCTGCCTTTAGATGTAAGCCTTTAGAAAGTTGCTTTGACTTAAAAGTTTGTGTTCTTACACCGTTCTCCATAGATTAAATCCACTTCCATTCCTTCTGGATGTAATTTTGCCACAATCTGTGTTGCACACATCATCCCTTCCATTGTATTTCCCTTATTTTGCCTTGTATTTGCAACCTTCCACTGATCTTTTTAATTGTTCTTTTTAAATCCATCTATTTTTGTACTATTTTTTTACATAGAGATATAGTAATAGAAATTCTGCCTTGTTACCTAATTATGTAAATTATGTGGTCATCTCATCATTTCACCTAACTGAATCCAAACTGCTAAGTGCATTAGTCATTATCACAAAAAAATTAAAATAGATGTTTCCATCTGCTGTGATACTAACCTCCTGTCATACTATTTTTAAAACTATTACTGTTCATGTTTACCACAAAGATATTCTTATGTCTCTGCTCAACTTCACTGAAAACAGGTCTAGTGCAGGCTTGCTTGAGTGGAGATGAATACCATCATGTTCTGTAAAAAGAACATGAAAAATACAGCTCCATAACATCCAGCACTTGGCCTTGTCTCAAATTCAGTGGGAAGTCTGAAGGATCTGACTGACATTCTGGGACTACAAATAACAAATGGACAATTCTGTACACTCATTTAATTACAATCCCATTACTTGGACATTCAGTGTACCTTACTTAATGTGCTGGAGTTTTGTTAAATTTGTTTGCAGATCTGGTTATGGAGCTCTTCATCTATTATTCATTCACTAAACCTCCAGATAATTAAGTTTTGAAAAACTCCTTTTTACCTCTACTGCATTTATACAGATGGAATGCATCCCTTTAAACCTTTAAACTAATCTCTAAATTTATAAAGGAAAAGACTTGGAACCCAAAAATGAATTGGCAAAGCACTCTTTCCAGGGTGCCATGATTTCTATACTGCTTTTCTAGTATATAGCTGTTGGTGGGATATTTAATAACTGGGGTTCTTTTCTCTTTAAAGAGTGGTATAAATGTATGCAGTTGCCTATTATTCAATTATGATAGGCTAGTTCATCAGCTGGGATAAAGCTTGGCAAAGTGAAGATCTTATGACCAACCATGTACCCTAGGAACCACTGAAATTCAAGGTTACAGTTGTTACTACTAAAATTATTCAAGTCATATTCATTAGAACTTTGTCCAAGTCTGTTCTCATGCTGATTTAGGGTCAAGCCCTAAGCATCTTCCTAGCCCTGTTTTTCCATAAAAGGGCTGTGCTTGTTTAGAACCATATTTTTCATTGCTTAGATAATTTACCTTTCTTAAATGTCATTGAGTAACATCATCTTCTTTCCAACTGGAATCTCCAAAACAGGGCTGCATCATGATCCCTGTGGTTTGGTGAGCTTCTGGAAACAGTGAACTATGCATGGAAGTCCAGGACAAAGTGCATCCAGACAACTTTCTGATTAAATTTGAGACACAATGTAGTGCATGTTGTTGTTTAATTTGCTTCTTTCTTTATAGAAATATGGAAAACATTGCTCATTTATTAATGGATTGGATGGCATTCCACTTACTGTATCAGTTTCTACACAGCTGTAATTTATATTGTGTTGATATACATGGTATGTGGTGTATATATATATATATAGATGTGTTTCTACTTACCTAATTCACTTTCAGTTTTTCCTTGGAGAACATTTCCAGAATATATTTTCTTTCTTTGTGCAAACTTTCCTCCTGGAAATACAAGAAGTAAAAGGTGCAGTTTCTTGAGGGAATGTGAACCAAAGAAAAGCCAGGCCACAGGAAGCCTCACAGCCGAGTTCTGTCATGGCAGTATAGTACTATTCTATGACCCTGTCTGTGGGGGAAGTTTGGGTTTTGAATATTAGAGACTATATACATATGACAGCTTTACTGGCCCTAAAAATTTGAAATATGCATATTTGGAAAATGTTCCATCTGTTCCAATTAGGAACTGCAGAAGGCATATGGAGTCATGGGATTGAAGTATTTTAAGGAAAATATTCATTGTACTCCAAAGTGTCTTTTATTAGAGAATCCTTTTATAAAGGCTGTCTACAGTGACTACATTTTCATATGGAGGATGTTTGGGGTCATGGCATACATAGCAAAAATTATTCTTTTTCTTTAAAATAATTTTGTATTCATGGTATTTTGTGGGTTTTTTTGAGGGTGGGATTTGTACTCATAGAAGGCTGTGTTAGTTATACTTATTTCTTAGCAGCACTGTCTTTATTGCCATCTGAAAATTTGGAGGTAGAGAACATCACTGTATTTAAAATACACAACTGCTGGTGTACATGAACTGAGGGGCTTAATTACAGTGGTACTGGAGCTGAAGAGATGAACATAAAGTAAACCCTGTAACCACAGAAGGGACATGCTGTTTCTAACAACAATACTGACTTGAAAAAATGTTGTTAGTACCAAGGATGGCAAAGTAATTTTGTGTATAGGAATGTTATCTCATGATTAAATTTTCAGCAATGACATAGATACATATGACATACTTATTTTTTCCCCAGTTTGAAAGGCTAAATCTTGCACTGCAGAGAACACTTGCAAAACACAGAATAAAAGAAACCAGGTATGTAAGTGTAATGGTTTTGTAACTAATTTCACTGCAAAAATGTTTTTCTGACAGGAATGGGGTGGTGACTGGGAATCAAGACTTCTGGAATTTATATGCAATTATCTTGTCAAATTGGTGTGTAACATTTCACATAATGTAAGCTAGTAATGATTTCATTTATTTAAAAATATTCACAAATATTTACCTCACTCACAAAGTTGACTTAATGGGCAAATTGTACAGGGAGACAGGCAAGGCTTGGCATAGATGGAACAAGAGATATGGTTGTATATGGATCTAGCCCAGTGTTTCTAAGATCCCAGGGAAATAATTTTAAATACAATTAGTATTATACGAAAGAATTTGGTTTCTGATACAGTGAATACTCATACACTACAGATACTGACTTGGATGTTTTCCTGAGCTCACTTGGCTTCTGGTTTCTGTTTCTGAGGAACTCGGATAAATTTTCAGCACTTCTTAGTAATAATCCAATATTAATCATTTGAGCCTTATACAGAGTAAGAATTTCTTAGCATCTCATGGTACACTGAGGATTCAGTTTATTGAATGCATCTGAAAAAATAAACCCATCAGTTTAAATCTTCTTTCTTAAGAAAAATAATTGAGATGGAAGCTACACTGTTGCTCACTATGATAAGAATAGATAATTGCAGTGCATCTTTTAAATTACACTTGGTATTTTTAAAGCACTTTACATACATTGACTGAACCAAAGATAGTGGGTCAGATGTGCTTTGCAATTGCTGACTGGCTTATTGCTATGAATGTTTTCCCATTCTTTAATTATGTGTTGCTTCCCTGGAGTATTAGTTGAAAAGGAAAAATTACTGTGATATTCTGAAGGAGGCAATAATGCAAATGTAAAGCAAATCTGAATGTCTGTATCGCTTTTACATATAAATATACCTATGATATTCCAAGTGAAGAAATTCAGAAGACATGTATCAGGAGTTTATTGCTTATGTGAAGGTTAATCTAAGCTATATGTCATTCTCATAACTTTGAGTCAAACATTGTTTGACATTTATTGTCCTCAGAGAACTCAGAGGGCTGCAGTTTTGTGTCAAATATCTGCATTACTACCAATGAATAAGTAATTTTGAGGTTAATAGTTGTTATTTGTATTTCCTTTCAAAGCAGGAATACATTCTCACCTCTTTTGAATTAAATGCAGTGTAGTTACAAAAAATGCTTAAATATAAATTCCAATTATATTATACAATATGTTACAAAATGTAGTTTTGGCTTCAAGAAAAAAACACAAACCAAACAAAAAGCCAGGACTGTTACAATGACAAGCAATAGCATTTGACCAAAATCCATAATTTGAGCTCAGACTACCAAAACCTTAATTTACCAGAAATGCACAGGATAATCTAAGATTATACCAAGACTCCCTTTTGAATTAATTAAAAAACTTCATATTTGATCAGCAGAACTGGGTCTGTACACTTTAAAGACAAGGTAATTTTTGTACTTACTATTTTTACCACTTTTATCTTGGTAATTTAGGGGCTTTATTTATATTTTTATGATCTTTGCAGAAAAACTGGTGATAGAGAAGATTTTGAAAAAATAATCAGTGATCATGCTAATGCAGCAGGTAATGTAAGCTTGTTTAATAATATATATATAAATAAATATATTTTCTATAAATAGATAATAATATATTTTATATAAATTAGTTATAAATTTGAGACAATAAATTAGTCTTGTTAGTAGTATGTTACTTCATATTCTGAAGATTGTTGTGTGTCAGAAGAGAATTCTGCAATATGTAATTCTGGCTACATCTATAATAGTAAATTTACATTTCCTGGAACTGAAACATGGTCTTCTGTACACTTAAACTGTTAAACTGGTCCAGGCACACAACTGGTCTGTAAGAAACGTTTTTAAAGGATTCCCAGTAACAGTTAAGGAAATGGAACTTTCCCAACAGTCAGTTTGCATGCAGCTATCCAGGTAAAACAAATTTACTAGCAAAGATCTGAGCCATTCAGTGCCAATTGGCCTCAGTGCTCCAGAATATTCCCAGATTCATTTAATGTACTGGATTGTGCATAGTACTTATATCTGCAGATCCTATTTTATTCTTATGTTAGTTTTTAAACTTCTTATTTTACTCCTTGGATCAATGTAAGGGGGTCGAGTCAAATCTTGCATCTATTTTGTCTACATCTCTACAAAGAACACTGACTCTCAGATCTTTCCATACTAAAACAAATTGTCTCCCCATTTCCAGGCCTTGTTTCCAGAACTCCTAAATGAGAGTGCCCTCAGGTGTCAATACTGCATCAGGGAAGGATATTGATGGTTTGTTTTGGCCTAGGTTGAAAAAAATGAGGAGGTTAGCCTGTGATTCAGGATGATGAGTGCAGTTCTGACTAAAATGTGGTTCTGTGCAGGTGTTCCCGTGGAGTCTCTACGGGAATCTCTTGGTGAAGAGCTATTCAAAATATGCTATGAAGAGGATGAACACATATTAGGGGTTATTGGAGGCACCCTTAAGGACTTCTTGAATAGTTTCACTACTCTGCTGAAGCAGAGTAGCCACAGCCAAGAAGCAGGAAAAAAGGACAGACTTGAAGATGCCTCCATATTATGCCTGGAGAAAGATCAGGACTTCTTAAATGTTTATTATTTCTTTCCTAAGAAAATCACAAGTCTTATTCTACCTGGTATCATTAAAGCAGCAGCTCATATCTTGTATGAAACTGAGGTGGAAGTGATGCTCATGCCTCCTTGTTTCCATAATGACTGCACTGAGTTTGCTAATCAGCCTTATTTGATGTATTCTATACAAGTCAAAAGTGCAAAACCTTCCTTATCTCCGTGTAAGCCACAGTCTTCACTTGTGATTCCTGCCTCTGTGTTCTGTAAGACTTTTCCATTTCATTTTATGTTTGACAAGGATATGTCAGTTCTTCAAATTGGAAATGGGATAAGAAGACTTTTGACCAGGAGAGAATTTCAAGCTAAGCCAAATTTTGAAGAGTATTTTGAAATTCTTACCCCCAAAGTAAGCTGCACTTTCAGTGGAATAATGACAATGCTAAATATGCAGTTTACGGTACGAGTTAGAAGATGGGATAATACTGATATGAAACCGTCCATGGTAAGAGACTTTTTATTACCCTTACTTCTACAAGGAATTTGTTTTCCTCAGATGGAGTTAAAATAGCCACAAAACGTGCTGCATTTTGCATTTTCTACATCTGATATAACTGTATAATAATGATATAATTAGGGTGGTCAGATGTAATTCAGATTCTGAAGGCAATGTTCAGTCAAAACGCTGCTTTAGGACTTTTACACAAGTAAAATCTGACTGCAAATTTGACCTGATTTGAATAATTTGAAATACTGAGATAAAGCCAGTGATAGGACATGCTGCTGAGAATAAGGGCATCTTCAGCACAAAGACAGTGTCAGGAAAAGTGTCCCTGAGTCATTTGGGGAGCAGCTCTAGGTCTGGGGAAAATAAACAGATGTTTTCTGTGATCGTTCAACTTCTGGTATCGTTTTGGTATCTTTGACACTCTGATGTTTTCATCAGATGCAATCACCAAAGGTTTCACTTCATTTCAGCTGATGGGGTTACAGCTATCTTTGCAGAAGCTGAGTCTGTGACAAATGACCTGGGACAATAAAAAACATTGAGTATTCAATGACTGTTTTTATTCGTTCTTGGTCCCAGCTCAATTCCAGCTTATATGTGCCTCAGGTATATATACCGGGATGAATTAGTTCAGACTTAACTCTCCAAAAACTTAATTGAAGAACGGTAAAAAAGTTTTACCCAGTTACTAATGTGGCTACTATTAAAAGCTGTAGCTACTTCATCTCAGCTCCATTTCTGCACTAGAATGATTACGAGGGGTGGTAGAGTCGGCTTTGATTTTGCATGTACTTGCATATGCAAATGCCTATTAGTAAGGAACAAATTTTATTTAAAAAGTGGTCTTCCAAAGCTGTGTTAAACTAAGCTCAGTAGCGCCTTTCACATTTTACAGCCCGCTACAGAAGGGACATAAAAACACTTCACATAAAATATTTTTCTTTTTTAGACTAATAAAATTGGATATTCCTGCCATTTCTGCCTTTAATTTTAAATTGCAGTGAGTACTGAACATCCTATGATAAAACTGAAGCAGATTTTCTCACTTTATCTTATGGAGAAAATGGTACATGAACTAGTTATTAAAAGAAATTTAGAGGCCACTGTAGTAACACATTTTATCAATTGCTGAAGGTACACAAAATTATTCTTCTTGGTTTTCTTTTCTCCCTAAGATAAACTGATACTCAGACATAATTAGGTGTTTATCCTCAAGCTGGGGTCCTCTTGTACCAGAGGACTGAATAGAAATGGACTTACTTGATGGCTCTGTGATTCAGCACACCATGTTTTCTCTAAGCAACTAAATGAAAATTAAGGACTACAGACCAGTCTTGATTTTCTTACATTTTAGCAAAATGTATTTTCTCTAGAACTTCCTGCTTCTAGACCACTGCCAGGCATGTTTTGCATGAATTCTTGTTTCTTTACCTGTTTCAGGTAATGGATCTTAAAGGCCAAATGATCTATATTTTTGAATCCAGTGCCATTCTATTCTTGGGATCTCCCTGTGTGGACAGACTAGAAGATTTTACAGGACGTGGATTGTACCTCTCCGATATTCCCATTCACAATGCTCTAAGAGATGTTGTTCTGATAGGAGAGCAGGCCAGAGCCCAGGATGGACTGAAGAAGAGATTAGGAAAGCTAAAGGCAACCCTTGAGCAGGCCCATCAAGCACTTGAAGAAGAGAAGAAGAAGACTGTAGATCTTCTATTTTCAATTTTTCCTGGAGAGGTTGCTCAGCAGCTGTGGCAGGGACAAGTTGTACAAGCCAAGAAATTTAATAATGTCACAATGCTTTTTTCTGACATTGTTGGATTCACTGCCATCTGTTCCCAATGCTCACCTATGCAGGTTATCACCATGCTTAATGAGCTTTATACTCGCTTCGATTACCAATGTGGAGAGCTAGATGTCTACAAGGTACACAATTCATTGCTTTTCCATGGGATTCTGGGGCAGGAAAGGAAATTAAGGCTAAGTGGGACAGAAGATAATAGAGGTCCAAAACTTGTTTTGCCACAAACCTTTTTCAGATGAAAGACAAAACAAATCACAAAACAAACAATTTAAAAAATGAACATAAACAGTTGTTCATTCAGCCAAGAAAGAAATCCATCAAAACTTAGGAGATAATTTTTAAAATTAATTTCAATGACAGTGCTGTGACTCTGGAGTAAGCAGGTGTTTAATGTAGCTGGGAGTTCCTGACAGTAAATGAAAAAGGAAAAGTATTTTAGGATTATGCCCAGCAATAAATAAAAGTCGTGCAATTTTCCCTTTTACTGCAGGATTTGTCCAGTAGTTAAAACATTTTGCAGAAAAACTAAGACTTGGGCAAGAATTGTATGTAGCTATGATTCTTACTGAAGTTAGGCAGCTCTTTTACGTTTATCAAACTAAGAGTAAGGAACAAATATGCCTGTTTTAGGTTGAGACTATTGGAGATGCCTACTGTGTTGCTGGAGGCTTACACAAAGAAAGTGAAACGCATGCTGTTCAAATAGCACTGATGGCCCTGAAGATGATGGAACTGTCAGACGAGGTGGTGTCTCCCCATGGAGAGCCTATCAAGGTCATATATTTTATTGTATTTTATTTGGTTAAAGTGAGCTTTCTTGTTTGTTTAGTTGCTTTCTGGGATTTTTTCTCAAGCAAATTTCACATCATTGCATTAACTTAGAGATTTGGGGAATCAAGTGACTGTGGCTGGAGAAGCTGATCTTTTCAGATCTATGGATGAGTTTTGTGGAGCGGTAAAAGCGAAATAGAGGTCTGAAAATAAATCCAAAAGAGAAATGCAGTGAAGTCAATAGGTGCAATCTGACACGGTGCAATTCTTGTCTCAGTAGCAATAAAACTGTCAGTGGCATGGAATATTCTCTTTTCTAAGGAAATGACTAATCCTCTTTCCAAATTAGACTTCCAAGTCTTTTGACGCAGAAGCTATGAATATGAATGCCCAAAGACGTTCTGATTGTAGTAATCCACACATCTTTAAAGGATTCCATTGCTGTTCTTGTTTCACAGTCAGATACTGAACCACCATAAGATAATGGTGTTAATGCTGTCAAAGCAACTGTTAAATTCAGTGGTAATTATATTTATGGCTTCCTTTCAGCAAGAACTTACACATGTACTGAAATTTTCATATAAGATCATCTCTTACTGAAAAAGAAAAAGAAAGGCCTGTATGCATGAAAAATGATGTGGACCTTCGACATAGTTCAAAAGGCCTGGAATGGTATCCTGGTATTTTTAATAGAGGTGTCTTAGTTCATTATGTCTTTGCTAATTTTTAACATTAATCTGTTCATTTGTTCCTCCAGAAAGCTTAATGCCTTTTTTTTTTTTTTAATTTTAGATTAAGGATTACTTGTATTCCAAGACAAAGAAAATGGTTAATAAGAGGATTATATGCTCCACATTTATCACAGAGAACATATAGAATACAGTATTGTATTATAAATAAATGTTGTTCTTTTTGTATTTTGCAGTATCAAATTAAGTTACACTTAAAAAATCTGGAAACATCCTGGCAATATTATAACAGGTTTATAATTTACATGCAAATGATACTACTACATTTTTAAGATTATTTTAAAATGAGGAGAAAAAATTTGTATTGTGTAAGTACCTAACAGAAGCTTCTTAGAAGGAAACAATATCTTTTTAATGAAAGCATGCATCTATTTTAATTAAGTGCTTCATGAAAAACTTGGCTATTGTGCAAAGCAATAAATTTCTCACACAGTCTACTGTCATTTTACATATCAATTGCCAAGAAAAAAAGCTGTGACCGCAAATGGCATACTTTGAATCCAACATACATTTTGATGAACATATTTCAGCCATCTTTACTGTGTGGGTGGATTTTGGTTTTGTTGCAGGTTTTTCTGCTTTTACAGTGAAAGTTAGAAACTGCAACTTCTTCATAATGGTATGATATTCTCTTCATATGTAAAGAGTAGTATGCAGAGTAGACATACAAGCTTTCTGACATCATGCCATTATTTAGTCAGAATTCTCTTCTGAAGAAAACACCTCTACACATCTATAAAGCACATGAGAGAAAGATCACAGCTCAAAAAAAAAACCCACCAGAAAGAATCATAGAAAGCAGCATCAGCTAAGTAAGAGTCAAAAAATCTGAGTATGAGCCAAGTTCACAGCAGTTCACAGTCATATTTTGACATGGTAGAATTACTCACTAAAAATGCAGTGCAAGATAAACTTCAGCTAGTTCCCTCTCCATGAGCGGTAATGACCAGAGTACAGATATTTTAAGGAGACACTGCTAACTCTGTTTATTTTAGTAGCTCATTCTTTCTTTCATTCTTTTTTTTTTTTTTTTTAATTAAAAATAATGTATAAAATCGACTTTACCAATTCTACTTTACCTAATAATGCTGTTTTCTTTCTTTTGTTTAAAGATGCGTATTGGCCTTCATTCTGGATCCGTCTTTGCTGGAGTTGTTGGGGTTAAAATGCCTCGTTACTGCCTTTTTGGAAATAATGTAACCCTTGCCAATAAGTTTGAATCTTGTAGTATACCTAGAAAAATAAATGTGTATGTAAAATGTCCACCTGCAGTGGTTACAGTAATAGTCTGTTATCTTCCTCTTGGTTTTTTTGGCTGAGTAAAATAAACAAATTTATAAATTATTTTTTTAACCTTTTAAGGAAGCTCTGCTACCTTCACTGTAGCCTAGACTGTAATCTATTGTTCCTACTCAGCTTGTACCCACTGCCACATATCTGATAATGCCTTGTGGCAGGATTCTGCATCCAACATCAGACAGAGAATTTGGCACAGGATCCTTCCTGACATCCCCTGCAGCATGTGTTATGTGACATAGATGGTGCTAAGCTTTAGATGATCTTGGCTAGGTGATTTAGAAAAAGTAGCACAGGTATTAGAGCACAGAGAAGGTAACCCTTTTGATCATGCACTCAGAAAACACAGAGAGCATTAGCATCACCTGTGCTTATGCATGTCAACATAAGCAGTGTTGGCCAAGAGTGATTGTTCTTCTATTCCACTCATATGGAAAATAATTTTGAATCATACCCCTAGAAAATAGGCAATTTGATTAATGGTTAACCTATTGTTGTTGTGGAGTTTCTGGGGTTTTTTTCTGAGCCAAGGAGGTGTTAACCTCCTTTTTGTTTGGTGTTTTTTTAATTTTGATTCATTTAGCAATTCTAAAGACACATTGATAATATTATGGCACCTTGCACAACTCCTGTATATTGCAGCAGTTGTTTGAAAGCTTTGATACGAGTTATCAACACTTATCCTTACAGATCAGCAGTCACTGTTTCAACCTGTGAGAAAGCAAATAATATTAGAATTGATAGGAGGGTCTGAGTAGTTTAATTATGGTTAGTAGTTTAATTAATAATTATTTAATTATGAACCTTATGGTTCACAGTATTCCATTCTTTGAAATATTAATTATGGTGCATTTGATGTGCAGATCTGAGCTATCTTTCAGCACTAAATAATTTTTGAAAATATTTACAACAAACAGCACCTACATACAAAACCTTGCCAAGACAAAAAAAGAGGCTATACTGTTATTTGCACTGATGCAGAAGTATCAAGGTTACCAAGTAAATATTATTTTTTATATTTCTAGTAAATAACTATAAAAATTGAATTGGATTCTCCCTGTCATACTGAAGAATTATTGATTATCTGCACTTACTAGTGACAGATTGATTTTTAATCAAGGTGATTAATTTTTGTTCTAGGTTGTTAAAGGAATACCCAGGTTTTGTGTTCACACCGCGCTCAAGAGAGGAGCTTCCACCAAATTTTCCGAGTGATATCCCTGGAATTTGCTATTTTCTGGATGCTTATATTCAAGGAACAAACTCACAGACTTGGTTTCAAAAGAGAGATTTGGGAGATGGCAATGCCAATTTTTTTGGTGAGGAAACAGGAATAGACTAAATTATACATTCACAAATGTATAGAATAAATCTATAAATATTTGGATTTTTTTTTTTTTTTGTATAAATTGAAAATTTTTAAAACTGTATGAAACATGAAAGCACTTTAGATTGTTAACACCTGAAAGCCAGTATTAAAATTTCAGGAAGTATGTCACTGACTACTTTTTATTTTTCTTTTGCATAAGGAACATAGTCGCTAAAGTAATGTTGCAATGTCACTGTTGGAAATGCTACTATAAACTGTATTTTCCCTGTGGTAATTTGTAAGTGCTACAGTTCTCTCTATACTGAGAATTCTAGATGTATTGTATATGCAGTTTGTCAGGAAGTGTACTGTGCAAGTGATGCAGCCACATGCAGTGTTGTGAGCTGGTGCTTATCAATGACTATGAAAATGTATTTTCTTAGAGATTCCATGAGAAAATGTCCATTAAAATATTGTCATTGCCATCACATACTTCTTCCAGTGCCATCATTTGGGCCCCATCCTAGAAGGCTGCTGACCATCTTCTCACACTGACTGGTCAAAGTATGAGGGTGCTCAGCATTTTCTGGATCAGGCTGCTAATTGTAGCTAATACACATGCATAGCAGAGTTGCTGCTTACTGTTTCATGAACTTTATTTCATGTATAAAATGAATACAGATTAAAACACTGTATAATCACATGCTAACATCTCTGTAATCGTCAAATTATTATAGTTCTTAGGGTTTTTAAAGTACTTAAAAATAATAATATCCACTTGTTATTATGTATTAAAGCAATAAATGTTTTCTTTTTGTTGTCATTTAAATTTGAAATGTTTTACCAGAAGTGTAATAAAACATGCTTTGGAATGTTTGCTTAGAAAGGAAATTCCAGTCAGACTGTCTGAAATTGAAGCACACCAGCTTAAAGCTCTGATCCTTAGTCGAGGATGCAATGTGGGTGTGACATTTTGTGGAAATGCCCATCACATCCTTGCTCGAAAGTTGCCAGAGGAATTTTCAGGTGAACAGAGATGCTTTTAAACATATGAACACATTTAAAAAGATTAATACTACTACAGTACAAGGTTTTCTGCTGTGGCTGATGGAATATGAGTGGAGAATTCCAAAGGCTTTGGAACTGACAGAATAGAGTTAGTTAAGAGTTCTGAGTTCATGATTCCTCCTCTCTAATTAGTAGATCCATCTGCTCAGAAATTCCTCTGCCATACAGTTTGATCTGAACTGCAGGCTGGAGAAGTGCACAGCTTATACACATACTACTGCTCTCAGTAGTATCAGGTATTGGTTACTATTCTAACCTCTTCAGCTCCTGGGGTTTGGCATATCAAGTCATAAAGTCTCTTCAAACCACATGCCACTAAATCTGATTTTGCTCTCTTAATATTTACAGGAAGCAATTACATTAGACGAAGGTGCTATTTTGTTCATTTTCTGATTTTGCAGGTACATTCTGAAGCTCAATAAACCATTTTCTCCTACTAGTTTTTGTTAGAAACTCATACATGTACCATCAGAATCTTAAGAAAAGGTCTTAGAAGAGACTAGAATTAAGAGCACTTTAAAGCCATATTTCAATTCAAATTTCCTGTAAGGAGCATTTGAACAAAACATGAACCATTGAATCCTTGAGGTTACTATATCCATCCAAGATGCTTAGAAATAGTTCTGTGGCACAAAAATAGAACCAGAAAGTCTGTGTCTTACAAATAAACACATCTGTCTTGTGTACACCAGATACTCTCACACACATATATGTACCAGCACATGTATTTCTAACACTTTAGACTGCAGTGTTTCAAGGAAACAAGAACTGTGCAAATTTTGGAGACTGATGTTTCCAATATTATATTGGTCAGACAATTCTTCTCTATTGGGAGAAATATCCAGGGGTTACTAGCAGTCCCGTATGGGTACCCCTGGATATAAAAATGGGGGAATGTTTGACTCCTGACAGTTCAGTAGGCTTATGTTATTAAACCAGAAATGACTGAGGTCAACATGTGTACACAGAAAGCAACATGTTTGAGTTTCAGTGAAGCAAATAGGATTTAGGCACATATTTAAGATTGATTCATTAAAGTGCTTTAAAACATACCTGTGTTCAGACCTGTTCTACAAAAACCCCCATAAGTCCATTTAGCTTTAAACATAATTTAAGGATTTAGGTCTCACTGAAGCTGTTCCTCTGTTTAAATTATTTTGCTGAAAAAATATATATTTAATAAGGGTAAAATATTTTAATTTATCTTTTCACTTAGATCTAAAATATTCATTTCACCCTTTTACTAATCATTTCACTTAAATTAAAAAAAAATGAATCAGAAAGCTAATAAGCAAATTTTTGAGATAAACAGAAGGAAGGCAATTTAACTGATGCAATATTGGGACATTTTGGAAGAAAACAATAGCATTTTTAAGTTGATCTCTTTTGTAGTATAGTGTATGATATTGTGGGAATTTTCAGAGACTATGCAATGCTGTTTATATAAATATAAAAATATCTAAGTATTATGTCCAGAAACAGTTTTGTTATGTGTGAAATTTTATTTATTAGTTCATGAAGATTCTGTGTGGCTGATTCCTATTCACACACTATGTGATGGAACATATGTTTTTATTACTGCAGTTTCTTTGCCAGAGAAGTGTAAATGGCCCTTGAAATAAAAAGTGGGTCCTTCAAATCTTGACACTGGCATAGCTAAAGTGAAAGCTATACTGAAAGAATTCAATTAATTTTATTACATTCAAGCATGACCTGATAAGATTTCAGGGGGACATTGGAAAAAATTTGCATTGCTGGTGTCAGAGGAAGTACAATTAGTGTGGAGCTGATGCTTTCTTTCTCTCTGAACTACTGTGCAAAACCAGAGCAAAGAAGAGTGAAGCACACAGATAATTGAGCCCCTGGGACAGATCTACTTCTTCCTGGGAAGACTTATGAAGGAAGAATTCAGACCTCCCCCAAACCCAGTTTATTTCTCCCATCATTTTCTTTCACAATCTTTCCAGAAACAGCTGCAATTAATACTACAGGGGGCAAAAACAATATTTCCAACTAAAGGCCATCAGAATTAAGGGAATTGCTCTTGAATCTTGGCAAGGGAACCCTTTTTCAAACTCCACCCATCCTACAACCTAGCAGGCCACTCCAGCTGCTAACATTTTTTTATGCCTGCCCATTGTTCTGCAAAAATGGTGGGAGATTTGCTTCCTGCTACAGCAATGACTTTTGTGGCTGTTTGCCATAGTGCACACAAGATACTGAGTTGCTTTCAAAGCTCTGTACCAGTTTATAAGAAGTCAGCTTGGCAGAAACCAAATTCAACTTTCTGAAATGTGAGGTAGGACTTGCTTTTCTGCCTCTAAATTCTGAAAGGTGTGTGCCACAACAGTCTTTTGAGACTTCTAAAACCACCTCTTACTGTGTGGCTGCTCACAACTGCATAGGAAGAAAATAATCAGATATAAGGTTGTTTGTTTTTGTTTTTATTTTAAATTTTCCAATCCCATTTGCACATGTTCACTGGCAGTCCTTTTCTGCAGAGCATGAAGGGAGAGTAAAAGCCACTGTCTTAGGTCATGAAGCATTGCTCTGATACTGAAACAAATAAAGGATGATAATCAATGATTCTGGAACCTTTGCTACATCCAGATACAATAGTTTAAAGATATATATACTCTGCAGAGCACAAGCAGTAGGATCTGAATGTTAAATATGCAGTTAGGGTGGAAGACAAAGCTGGAAAGTCAAAGAAATAATAAAAATAAATAAATAAAAATAAATAAACTGAAAGAATCTGAAATGAAGTAAACAAGCTTATAAAGTTGTGTGTCTCATCTGCTTTGGCAGACTTTTGATGCTGAAAGCAGTCAAGCCAGTGGTTTGCTAATATAAATGTAAATGAGCACATTACTTTGCAGCCTCATTATAAGATGGCCTTTGAAGACCTGTGCTAAAATTGCTCCTCATTTTTTGAGCAGTACAAAATTACAGATTTTAGTGCCATTAGGCAAATGCATCTCCTGCACACACAGCAGCATGTAGTGGGAAATAACTGAGAGAATACATGCAGTAGCATCCCAAGAATGTGAAATTGAGGTGGATTCAGACATAGAAACATTTCCACTCCTCTGATTTTTCAGCCCAAATAAAACCCGCCATAGAAGTATCAAGGAAAAGGCATTCCTGGGGTCTTTGGACTACAAGCACGTGAAAATGAACAGGAGTCTTTCTTTCCACTGATTGCAGATGATGTTGGGGAAAATTTGTACATATGATTAGCTCGCTCTGCATGGCTAAGATTACATTCCTCTAATAGGAGCATGCAGTAGAGCTCTCAGTTTCTCAAATTTACACGTTACTGCGTTACAGAACAGCATGGAAATATTGAGGGCTTGTTTATCACAGCTTGTCAGTACCAGGACTGAAAAATTCATGTAATGGTACAGGACAGCACTGTATAGTGGTATAGTAGAAATAACGAATCTTGCTGAAGTGAACTTAAGAGGGTGTTTCTAAACCTGACAAGTATTATTATGGCAGTTCCAAATGTTAGGTCTCAGACCATAACTAGAAAATACCTGTAGTTCAGTCCATGTCAGTAAAGTAACTCCAGTTAAGTGGAATCCAGCAGTACCATATAAGGAAGTCTTTTTATTCAGGATTTCAGTAACAAAATTAACTGTAAAAGCAAAGTCCAAAGTAAAAAATACAACTTATTAAAACACTTCCTTTGTTTTATAGTGCTTGTGCATTAACACAAACCATATTGAGCTGAATGTAGAAATTCTTGGCCAGCTAACAGTTTTCCTGAAGTTAATGTCTCAGCAACTGCCCTTTCACACAACATAGAGAGATTCTATGCTACTTTTCACTTTCATGAATCTCACCAAGAATTGCCAGATGAAGTCAGCATCTCAAATCAAGGAGAAACATGTTAAAATAAAACATGTAAAACATGTACCTAGTACATGAGGGTCCCCAGATGGCAATGTGATTGTTTGCTATAGTGGAATAAGCTGCAGGCTTTATGGAAGTGCATCAGCTACAGTCCAAATGTTTGTGTGATGTGCATAATGCATGTGGCCTAACAATCCTGATACTGACATGGCTGGGCCTTGGAAACACAGCTCAGTATTAACAGCTTAGTTTGACATTTATTTTTCTGACTTCGAGCCTGTCCTTGAGATGAAAGCAAATCATCTTGCCTAAGACTTCCAGACTGTCTTGATTGAGCTGCTATCTGGAATGGAGGCTTGTCCTTCTCAACAAATCACTTGGCTGAATTCTTTAATTTAGCATCTTCCAAACTTTTAAAAGGAGACCCCTGTTTTAGAAAACTAAATTAATCACTGCCTGCTTTTACTCTGACCATGCAGTTTTCACTTCACACTTTACAAATCTCACCTTGGCTAGAACTTTGATCTGTATTATTATGGGTTAATCACAAGAACAGCCTGCAAATGCAACCTACCAAGCCTGAACCAAATCAGAAGAAAGGCAATTTCATATTTATCTAAGACAATTTTTACCCTTGTAGAGATCAGTACTTTTGAAAAATGTCACTCAGGTACACAAAATCACCAGACAATCCACCTTCTGAAAACCATAACCAAAAATAATTTCATCTAATCTCTCTAATACTTCATGAGCACAAGGGCTTACCCCACATACCAAGTGGATTCCCTTGAAACCTGTGAAGAATGAGAATATTTTTTTACACCTATTCTCCATACAGTTTACTTGCCTGGGATGTGCTGCCAGGAATTCCTTGATATTTGTGTCCTCAAAACTGTTTTATACGTGCATGAAGGAGAAGACTAGCCATACTGGAAGGCAAAATTCCCAGCTGTTGTCTTTTCACTACTAGCAGTAGGCATATAAAGATATAACTACAACCATCATTTGTATGGCAGAATACATTTTCACATTTCTCCCAAAATTTACTTCCTACCAAAAAGTAAAAAGTAGATAGTGACCTGATGTTCAAACCTTAGTTAATTGGTGTCAACTCCTCTTTAGCTACAGGAAAGCACAGCCTTTGGTCTGATTCCAACAGTACGATTTATTACATTATCTCTGTTGCCAGTTTCATGGAAATTGATGGGACTTTTAGAGATTTGCATCTCTTCAGTTTTTGTTTGGTTTTTTTACACAGAGATATTCAACCAGTAGTTTGGAGTAGTTTGGTTAATTTATCTAAATATTTTTTCTCTTCCCTTCAAAATTACCATACTACTTGTATGATTTTACCTGGTTATACTGAAGCTTTTGTTCTTGGACATTCTTTAAAAAACCCTAAAATCAGTTTTACCACTAGATTTGGACTGGTGTGAAGTAGAATTGATGACTATGCCTACATGACCTAAAAGTAGGGTTTGCCTCTGCTGTTCCTGGAATGTCTACTGAGATGATTTTGCAAAATTTCTAATGCCTATCCATTTGTGTTCTCACTTACTAGAATTTTTAAAAGTTCTTAACACAGACTCAAAAGTTCACCAGGCAGTAGTTGAAATTTCAAAAGGTTTTTGCATTATGCCATTTTTAAACTAACTTACATGGAATTTCCAACATCAATGCTTCATTTTTTTTTCAAGAACTATGTGAACAGTTGAAATGTTAAACTGATTTTTCACTATTTTACTAAGATCTGAACTGTAATTTTACCTACATTTAGAATCCATCTGTTCTGACTAGTATTTATGGCTTCATGTGGCAAGGTTTCTGCCCAAGAGCTATTATATGAATAGTCCACTAGGTACTCATCCTCTTATTTTCCTTGATAAACTATCTTTTAAATATATTTTGATTTTTCTTTAAAAAGTTAAGAAAAAAAAAAAAAGTGGTCTGCTTAGAATTTTTATTTCATACACTGAGGCCAAGTCTTTGGATTGTACAAAGGGCTTTAAACTATATGGCGCTGTATTATCTTTTTTAATTCCTTGTCTATGATAACATAGGATGAAGTGTGTTATTTCCGAACTGGCCTTGGCATGTTGTCTCTGCTCAAAACCTCCTGTTGTAAGGGTCATACCTCACGTAGAGAACCCTCTAAGAATCCATTTTCAGTAGGGTAATAACACAGTCTTTATTCACACTGACACCTGAGAAGGACTCAAGAACACACCAAGAAACCCCACTACTGAAAGCACTCATTATTATGCTTTCAACTTCACTGGCCTGTGAGAAATGAATGCATGGGAGCAGAAATGTCTGCGACCACTTTGTCGCTCAGATTCTTCCCTTTTTAGGGGACATTTTTCTTCCTAAAAGCTAAGTGGCTGCACTGGTAGAAGAAACAGCTGGAGCATTATGTGGAACTGACACCAGGGCAAGCACACCTTGCCCCGCAGGTACCCTCCCAAGCACTCCGAGCCCCCCGTTCGATCCCGGCTCCGCTCCGGGCACGGGCAGAGGCCGCCCCTCAGC